TGGAGCGGCTCCTTGATTTCTGGCAGGCGTTAAACTGGAGCTGGGAATGGGGCTGTGGTGAACGTTAACGGTGCAGCCGGAGAATGCAGACGCTGTGGGGGGCCTCGCAGTGTGCTGGGGGGTCGTTTGTCAGCTTGGTGGGGAAGGGGAGGAGGCAGGTCCTGCCTGGGCAGGGACCCTGCGGTGGGGGAGGAACAGGAGGGACCGTGAAACCTGTCAGAACTGGGCTGTGAGTGCCCAGGGAACGTGAGGTGCAGGGGGGGCTGAGGGGGGCGTTAAGAAAAGGACCTGGAGGTGACACAAAGGTGGCGTGAGGTGGGGAATGTCTCTTCGACCAAGAGTGGCCCTGAGAGAGTGAGACCCTGACAGACTGTGGTGGACAAGGGTTGAGAGTGCTGTGGGCTTCCCAGGGACGGGAGAGCGCGGAGGCAGCTCCTCGTCTGTAGGCGTGGACCAGATACCAGCAGCTGAAGCTTGGCTGTAAAAAAAGATTCAGTTATAAATACCTCACTTGAGCCTGTTTTGACTCATTTGAGTGTGCTCATACGTGTTAATTTTTAGGTCCCAAACAGCTCCATCCTGTATTCTGTGTAGCACCCAGTGCGCCAAGGTCCTGGTTGGCCTGTGGTGGGGAAAATCATTTGATATTGGTGTTAAAACTAGGGGCAGTGAGAGAGGCCAGTGAGGTTTGCAGGGATTCTAGGTGGTGGTTGTTGCTCGGCTGCTGTGAGGTAGCAGTGACGTCATAAGAGAACGGCAAATACATCAGAAACCGGGAAGGACTTGTCTACCCGAGGTGTTTTGTGATACAACTTCCTTTCCGCATGGAAAATAAGGTTGCTCAGGGATGTGACTTGTCTTCAGATGCTGTCAGACTGAAGAAAGTCATTGTAGGTGCTGACTGCAGCCTGGTGTAAGATGAACATCGTCAGGTATTTATTGAAAGTGTGGTCACTGCCACGCTTCCCAGGTGCTTTTCTCGGCCTGTCCGGTGTCATTCACAGTCCCAGGCTTATTTTTAGACGTGCCTGAGTACCGAGAGCAGTTGGGAGGCTGAGAACTGTCAGATGAGTTTATTTAGAAAGATGCTCAGCGCTGGTTTTGATGGCAGGTGTGAGTTCCGTGTCCCTGAAACCGAGACGAAAACATCAGCTTGGCTGCTCTCTGAGACACATGATCTCCCTATTTTCTAGAGAACAGCTAAAAAGAGAATATGAAAGGCCGCAGTGTGTCAGAGGCTTAGACAACTTCATCAATTTATCAGGCTTTCCAGTTTTTTTAGTAGAGTTGCCTTTAGAGAACAAACCAGGTGTATCAGTAAGTTGCTAATATTTGGGGTTTTTCTCCTTTCTCCCTGAACTTTCTTCAGGAAGAGGAGACGGAATGGCAACGAAGATGACTGCCACATGCCACAGACAAAACGTAGCACCAGGACTACAGTCGTTCAGGATTCCTGGGACACTGAGGTGAGAGCTTTCTCGGGCAAATTCACTTTCCTTTAATGCTGGATTTAAGTGGCAGTGGAGTATTCTGTGAAGCTTTATTGCTGGAGACTAGTTAAGGAAAACACTTTTTTTTTGCTTGACTCTGTTCAGACACTGAAATCTGTAAAATCTGGTTTGGAAATCAAGTTTTCCGGTGAACCTGATTGTCTTTGGCCTGGCTATTTCTATTAATAGATTTCAAATACTGATACGTAGCATCCAAGTGAAGCTAAAAGAAAAGTTTTTTGCTGTCACTTCTAGTTTTGCTGTCTGAAATGAGGTGTGACGTATCCAGGACTGAGGAGACGACTGGGGCAGATTACAAGTGCGCGTGGTCGCTTTGCCTGGCCGTCTAACCTTCATTTACTCACGGTAACGTGATTACGTGGGGTAGAAACTCAAAAAGCATTCCGACCAGCACCATAAAGGGCCTGTTTCCAGCGGTAGCTCTTATCTGATGTTTGAGAAACGCTCTGCTGGAGCTCGGCAGTTTAAGCAAGACTCGCTTCGTCACAGCGGAAACCCTTGAACTCAAACTATCAGGTTTCTGCTCGTATTTGCTGTGATCTTGGCTGGATGTGGCATAAATCCTCATCGTCCGCATGGCAGGTGTTCTGGGATGGTGCCATTTGCCAGCTATGAGATTTCTGTTTTCTAAAAAAAAACTGTTTTCTAAACTGCTGTCAGATCTCTTGAATTGTTGCCTGTGTTCATCCTCAGAAAATTCGTTGTATGCTTTTCTAATTAGCAACGTTGTCCTGTTGCAAAACGTTCCTGGAAAAGAGGGCACAGAGCAGAGGCTCCTGTTTGGTGCGTGTCGCTGGGCGTTAACGACACGGATTTCTCTCCTCCAGAGTTTGGCTGTAATGAGTTAATTACCAACTGTTGCGGTTATGGCTAACTAGATTTTGAATGCAGAAGATGTTTTCTGCTCTGTGACGTTGGGCACCGCATCTTTTCCCACATGGTAACCGATTTAAATACATATTTACAGTTAAAATGATACAAAGCTCTGCAATTCCACCGTTTCTTCTCGAGGGAGGCGTGCTTTTAACCGGTGCACCTTTACAAGTAGCCGATACGATAGGGGTGTTGTATGGAGAATGCTCTCACAGCCCAGACGTTCATCGGGAAGGGAGTCGCTGTGATGGAGAATGTTCCCGTGTGTTTTGCCAGAAGTAAGCCTGGCTGGGATGAAGGTGGTTTTCCTTCTCGGGTGTAACGGGTAGAACCATAAACAGTTCTGTCGTCTGACACTGAATCACTTGTCCAACAGGTTAAACACCTCTTCGTGTGTAGAGTAGTTAATGGCTAAACGAGCTGTGTGGCGGGAGGAGGAAGAATTTAGTGTGGAACAAGGGATTGAAGTAGGAGTAATGAAATTAAGACTGTCAGGAAAAAACCTTAATGATGAGTGGCAGAAGCACCTTTGCTTGTCATATAAACCCTTGGCGTTTGGGCAGAGCCACTGAAACGCCAAAATGGGACTAGTCTTGTGGGAGCCACGTGAGAGCGGGTGACCCTAACTCCCTCCTTAGCAGCGGTGGTGTTTGGGGTGCCCGTGGGTGAGGAGCACGGGCCTGAGCCGCCTGCCCCGCCGCAGACCCGCGCTGCTGAAGCTAATGTTTAAAGCTCCTGCTCCGCACGTGCTGTGGACAGGGGTTTTTAACACCCTCCCGTGCAGGCGAGGAGAGTCTCTTGCTGTTGACACTGGAGGAACGGGCTTCGCTGGGCACGGGTTTAAAAAAAAATCCATGTTCCCTTTCTCAGGAGAGCAAAATTCGTGTTGTTTACTGAGGAATAGCATTTTTTTTGCTCATTTTCTTGCAGTGTTGGGTCACCAAATTGAGCATGCCCAGAAACTCAAGCCGTGAGATTAAATCAGTATCATTTGATGTTATTTAAGGACTTCCTGTGCCAGATGGAGAAATTCTTGTGCTTACAGTGCACAAGGGCTTCCGATTGATGTCACTTGGAAACTCCTGGCCATTTGTAATACTTTTTATTTAGTTTCCTGATGCTTTGCCATTGCCGAGGCAGCTGTTGCCGATTCAAGGTGCCCGCTAGCTTTAGGATATTGAAGGAGGGGAGAAGGGGTGTGCATGTGGAGCAATTTGTAACTTCAGCAACACGAGGAGAGAATTGCTTTTTGTTTGAGGGCATACGCACACCTGCCTTCTGTGAAATAAAGAGCGGATTCCTTTTGCCTTCCTTCAGCTGAAAGTTGACTTTTCTCTCCCAAACTATGGTTGACTAGAGCACGTGACCTCAGTCTGAAAATCAGGCAGCTGTATCACTAAACCCAAACTTGGCCTTTGTCAGGATCTCCTTCCTTTTTGTTTTTGGTCTTAACTGACAACAAAATGTGTAAGAGGAAGGCAGATTTTTTCCTTAGAGGCAGATGAAATGTGGGCTGTTATCCCTTAGTCCCTCACCTGGAATCCACGTGAGCGAGATCCGACGCCGAAGGGTATTGCTGTTTTCTCCCACTAGATCGCCCTTTCCTCCAGGGTAGAGAGCATCCTTGGCTCTGACTTCTACAGGAGGGAAACTGAGATTCTCCTCAGTCTCTGGCAGCACTGCTTCTTGGCAAACTCCTGTAACCATCTGCAACTCCTCCTCCTCCGGGAACAAGCCGCTGCCACACTCCTGGGTGACAGCCACCCCGAGGAGGACAGTAAACTTCTGCTTTGTGGCTGGGTCCCTGAAACATGACGAAAACGCCAGACCAGAACTACAGCCAACGTTAAACATTAGCGAAGCAAAGCATTTGCTGCTGCATTTTGCTTCCTGTCCGGCCCAGCCTCTGTTTACTGGGAGGTTAGGGTTGGTGTTTTCCCTGGGTATAAATCCAGCAGAAGCCCTTCCTTGGCCCGTACGTCAAGTCAGGCAGAGTTGTAGTGGATCCTCTGAGGGGCCGGCTGCGAGCAGCCCCTCACGGGAAGGGTGAGGGGAATGGTGAGAATCTGGGACCTGGGGAATCACTAACGAAAAGCCCTTTGCTCTGGTTTTTTTGTGGGAAGGAAGGGAGTCTGCAGTGTTCTGGCTAACTCTTCCTTCCTGAATAACTTCTGTAAAACCTAATTTTTTGTGGTTCCTGTTTCTTATTCCGACTAACGACAGGATTCCCCAGGCTTAGAAATGGCACTGGTTTATTGACACAAGGCAGCGTTGCTTCCCAAATCCCAAGTTTTTGTCTAGCCTGGCAGCTCTGCCACTCTACAGGATGACACTGTCAGGGAAGGGCTGGTCTTAAATTCTACCTAAAACCAGATAGCAGCTCTGTTAAACTCGTCTTGAAGGGTTGCGAGAGCGGCGGGGCAGGAACGGCCCTAAGTTCCTGTCGCGAGGGAGGGAGATGCTGCGTAGGGATCGGCAGATGAGTACACGTCACGGGGCGTTTGGAGACGGTTTAGAACTCCTCCGGCTGCTCCGTGTGATGTCAGGAGAGGGCTGCTAAGTCAGGTAAACCGTGAAGGTGCCCGTTCAAAGTCCACGTAAACTTGGATCGGGCTGCTTTCCTTTGCCCTTTTTGCTTGGAACTGTTGCGTAGATGCCCGTCCTTGCTGACGTGATGACGTTAAGGATTCTTTTTTTGTCTAATTGTAGTCCACGTGTGTAACAGAATGTGCACCGCAGCCGGGGGACATGGTAGGTGTCTGACAGCGTTTGGGCGATAAACGGGCTTCACGTGCCTAGTGAATTTTGGTGTTAGAGAAATGGAAATAAAGAGGGTCTGATGAACCAGATCTGCCAACAGCCTTAGGGGTAGGAAACGCATCCCAGGACACTGTCTCAGCTTCCAAACCAGTAGACTTTGGTAAAATAAGCATTACTGACAGCTCTCAAATGTTTGGTAAGGTGTGAAACTGTAGCAGCAAACACTGCCAGGTTCTCATTTCGATTTTTACCTTGATTTGCAGAAGGTGGCTGTAAAGAAAAACAGTAAGGAACCCAGACTAAAAGGAAACAGAGTGTCCTGTGCGGTGGGTTTCTCTCCAAGGCTGCTGTGACTTGTTGGGCGTAACGGCGTCGCGTTTCAGTAATCGTGCTTCTGTGCAAAGTGAGATGGGCTAGCAAGCACGGTTTCTCGGCTGCTCTCTGTCCTCCTGGCATTCTCTCCCTCTCCTAGCGTTAGCAGCGTTAGGACGAGGAGCTGGTCGCTCGCGTCGTTAATCCGCTGCTTCCTCAAGAGCGACCTCGCGCGCGCGCGGTGGCTTCTCCTCGCCGGCCGAAGCTGACGTGCCAGCCCGACTGCCGTTGCCTTGCTTGCCGCACCACAGCAGAACTGAAGCATTTCTGGCGCTGAGGAAACCAAGGCAACGTAGGTGAATTGTCAGGATGGCGGGATCAATCCTGTGGGCGTTGGGACGGGCTCCACCCAGATCTTCAGGCAGAGCTTCCCTGGCCCTTTCTGGCTGGGCGTTCGGGTTGAGCTTGCACCAGCCTTCAGGCTGAGGCCAAAGCCAGAGGATGCGGTGCTGACTGAGAATTACCGTGGGCTTCTTTACAGTCTTCCTCTGCTGTGGCCACCGAACTTTTTCTGTGGGTTTAGTTTAATACCCACAAAAACGTGGGGTGGGTTTTTTTTTTAGCTGCTGCCGCTTTGGCCATCTCCTCTGGTGAATTGACTTCCTACGGGGTGGCAAAGTGGCCATTCTCTGCTGCTTAAGCAACTAAATATTTGCAGTGTTGCCCCGAAACAGCATATAATGAAATATTTCAGCTGTAACTAATGGAACTTTTCATTAGCAGCCCTTAAAATGGTGTAAACCAAGCGATTTTATGTCTTTGAAACACTGAAAGTGCTGGCTAATGCTCCTCCAGTCATTCCCACGAACGTGTTTATCCTGAGCGCTGGCGAACGAGCCCTGTCCTCTGCGAGCTACAGCGCGAGCCCTTTCTGCATGTGGGAGTCTTGACGCCTGGCGCTCTCTCGCTGCCAAGTGAATCGTTACGGGTAACCACCAGGAACCGTGCCGTCCCGGTGCTCAGCTGGGAGCAGAGTTGTGTGTCTTCCGAGACTTAAAATGGGTATTTAATTTTAACAGCCCTTTGCTTCTGGGTGCTTCAGATCTCATTTTAGGGAGATCTGACTGGCAGGACAACGCCCTGCACGGCGCTTACCTCCAAGGCCTGCTAGGAGAGAGGTGCTAACCTTTGCCTCGCGCTCTGCCTGCCTTTCCTGCGACCTGCGGCTCGGGGGCAAGGGGCTCGGTTTCCCGGTTCTCGGATGAATTCAGCAAACTGCCCTGGTGCTGGCGTGGGTCAGGGGGGCAGAGCTGGCGGGTCTAAAAGGTTGAAGGCGCTGGAGGTCAGCGAACCTCCGGGTGCAGCTCATCCCCTCGGCTCTCTGACGCTTTTGTTGGCAATAAGGGAAGCGCTGGGTGGATTTACGTTACTCCATCACGCTGAAGGTGAGCCTCAAAATCTAGAAGGGAGGGGCTTAGCATAAAGATTATTTGCTTCCCCGAGGTGTTTCACGGACAGGAGAGGAAACGGTGTGACTTTGCTGTTAACCTTCTCTTTCTCTCAGTCCTCTAGCAGTGATAGCGGCAGCAGCAGCAGCACCTGTAGCATCAACAGCCCTGACCGAGCGTGCGGTGCGGAAATCAACCTCAACCCCGGCATCGCAGGATCCAGCCCCGTCTACTCTGTGTCCTTCCACGAGCCATCTGCCCTAAGCCAAGGTCCATACTTCTATATCAATCAGATCCTGAAGGAAGCGCACTTCCATAGCTTACAGAGCCGGGGCCGCCTCCCAACATGATGGATCAACAGCTCCCTGCCTTCTGTGAAGGGACAGCACTGTGTAGATTTAATATTTCAACTTCAAAGTTTGTTTAAATGGAATTGCACAAAACGCCTGTTGCCTTCTCAGTCTATATTTTAAATAATAGGTTAACAGGAAATTGTTTACTTGTGGTTTGCTGCACTATGGCAATGCAAAAGGGGCTTTGAAGCAATTTTTATAGGATTCTTTTTTTGGGGGGGAGGGGGGGGGGAAGGTTCTAAAGACCAAGGAATCCACATCTGTGTTATAGGATTGCAAAATGTTCAATTCCAATTGACTGCCTAATCTGTTTGTTAGCGACCTGTTGCTTTACGTTCATCTTCAGTTTTATAAGTCTTTTTTTAATTTCAATAAACTAGCAAAAAATTTATCTGGCAACATCGTTTTTGGGGACATTTAGAGTCAAGAGGAGAACGTGCCATCACTGGAGTCCCTTAGGGCTGCCCCAGCTCAGTGTGGGATCAGCCTTATCCCGCTTCGTCCTCACTGCTGGAAACGGGGAGCTAGAAGCAGCAAGTAGCCAGAACAGCAACAGGACAAGGGGTGACGGGTTTAACTGGAAAGAGGGAGATGGGACAGCAGGAAGGAATTCTTCCCGCAGAGGGTGGGGAGCACTGGGACAGGTTGCCCAGAGAAGCTGTGGATGCCCCATCCCTGGGAGTGTC